TGACACGTTCTCCATGCCGATCTCGGGTGTCCAGAATAGGGGGCCACATGCGAACCACCCCACGATTTCTGAGGGGGAGGGTGGGGTTCACTTCGCTCGGGAGCTCCCGAACGAAGGGAACCCCACCCTCCCCCTCCAAAATCGTGGGGGGTATGGGGTAGGGTTCGCATGTGGCCCCCTACAAAAAAGGGCAGCCCGCCGCCGGACCGCGGCGCGCCCGTTCTCCTCGGGAGAGGGGCTGGGGGGCTTCGAGCCGGAGCTGGCCGGGGGACCGCGGTGGCCTGGCCTCGGCTCTCAGGGAAATGAGCTGTATACACCAACGCTGTTTCGGGCCCTGTGGTGAGATTTGCAGCCTGGAAAGCCTCGGCATCGCTCGGACGTGTGCATTTTTCCTCGGCGAGAACCATCGAGGACCATCCTGTACCATCGAGCAAAAAAGACACGCACGACACCGACAAATGCACGGGAAATGGACGTCCGAGCGACGGCAAGAAGCGGATCTTGGTGTGTACGGAACCTTGGTGTATACACGAACTGCTGTCTCCCTGGGGAAGCGGGGAAACAACTGCGCACCACACCCCCCCTGACGTCGTCCCCCACCCTCGAGCAGCCCGCCGCCGGTAGTGCATCCCGAGTTCTGGCCAGGGGGGCCTGCCTCGTGGCGGCGCCTGGACGCGGCTCGAAACATTGGCCGGTGTGAAGCCCGGGCAGGGTCTGGGGGCAGGGTTTGAGTAAGGTTCCTCCACCCGTTCTTGACCGATCTTCAGTGGGCTTCTCAAGCCAGGACCCCCTGGCCACCTCCAAGCGTCGAGGATCACAATCCCTTCGGACGTGTTTGGCCTTTGCCTTGGCATCCTCTCCCCTCCCCCCCCCCATCATTTCCATCAGGAAATGTCCGCCACTGCTCGCCATCTGCCGCAGTCGAGGGGAAAGAGGACACGAGGAGCGGAAGAAGGATGAGGATGAGGAGGATAGAGGAGGGAGGAGAGAGGCAAGCCATGGGCGCTCGCGCATGCCATCCTACCCCCCACGCCACCCATTCCTTCCCATTGAGTTGAAATCTCTTCCATCCGCCGACCAGGATGCCCTGCAGTAGTTGGATTCATTCCCAAACAGCCCTTGCAGGATTTGACGATTCGTGTTTTGCACAAGCGACGACGTTGGGGCAAAGTACACTGGAGATGGGGGAGGCGGAGGGCGAAGAGCAAGAGCAAGAGCAGCATCAACAGCAGAAGCAGCCGCAGGACGAGCAGAAGGAAGGAGGAGCAGAGGGGGGGCGACCACCACGAGGAGTGCATCGGGTCCAGCAGCACGGCCCTCGCTGTGGCTAGCGCGCCACTCCGAACGACGGGGTCGAGACCGAGGGCAAGCAGGCGGTGAGAGGGCGGGCCGCGAGCCTCGACATAACTAGCACGTGGAGCAGCTAGAACCGCGCCCCGCCGTCGCCCCGCGTGAGGACCTGCAGAAGGTCCAGGCGCAGCTCGCCGACGCCATGGGCGAGAGCGCGAGGGCGAAGGACCCCAGCGGGGTGGGAGGGACACCAGGGAGCTTGGAGGAGTGAGGAGTGAGGCAGGCAGGGAGGAGGAGGAGGAGGAGGAGGAGGTGGAGGAGGAGGAGGAAAGGAGGAAGAGTGAGGAATGAGGCAGACGAGAGGAGGAGGAGGAGGAGGGGAGGAGGAGGGAGGCGGAGGAGGAGGAGGAGTAACGAGTGAGGCAGACGAGGAGAGGAAGAGGAGGAGGAGGTGAGGAGGAGGAGGAGGAGGAGGAGGAGAGGAGGAGGAGGAGGTACGAGGAGGAAGGAGAGGAGGAGGATGAGGAGGAGTGGAGGAGGAGGAGGAGGAGGACGTCTAGGCGTTGCCGTCTGTTTGCGCCGGGCGGTCTCGCCGCCTCTCGAGCCCCAGTGCCCTCTCGGATCCGTCCGCCTCGAGCCGGTGCCGCAGGAGGATCGGGTGCGGGGCTCCCGTCGTGATTTCTCGCGCGGTGTCGGATCTCGGGGGAGGTGGCATGAGGAGAGCGGGGAAGCGCACGAGGAGGACGGGGCCGAGAGCGAGGGTGAGAGTGAGGAGGACGAGGACGAGGGCCAGTAGGACGAGGAGGGAGGGAGGGAGGGAGGGAGGGAGGCAGGCAGGGAGGGAGGGAGGGAGGGAGGGAGGGAGGTAGGGAGGAGGAGGAGGAGGAGGAGGAGGAGGAGAAGGAGGAGGAGGAGAAGGAGGAGGAGGAGGAGGGAGAGGAGGATGCGGGGAGCCACGGGGATGAGTGAAGGAAAAGAAAGATGGCGAGGATGACGTTGGAGGTGGAGAATGGCGACGAGGACGAGGACGCAGGCAAGGACTGTGAGGAGAGGAGAGAGGTGGAAGGATGGTGAGAAGCTTGAGGAAGAGGAGGGGAAGGAGGACGACGAAGAAGAGGACCAGGAGAGGGGGAGCGCTCGCACGAGGGACCCTTGGGCATCTTGGGGGGCTTGGTTGGAATGCGCCGCCTTGGTTTGGCAGCTTTTCCTCGGTCCAAGAGGAAGAAGGAGGAGGTGCAGGGAGAAGGATGAGGAGGAGGTGGAGGAGGAGGAGGAGGAAGATGAGGAGGAGGATGAAGAGGAGGGGTTGAAGTTGGAGGTGGAGGTGGATGCGGAGGTGGAGGAGGAGGAGGAGGAGGAGGAAGAGGAGGAGGAGGAGGAGGAGGAATGGAATAGGCTATAGGAGAGGGAGGAAGAAGGGAGGGGAAGAGGGAGGAGGAAGAGGAGGAGGAGGAGGAGGAGGAGGAGGAGGAGGGCGAGGAGGAGGGGGAGGGGGAGGAGGAGCAGCAGCAGCAGCAACAGCATGAGCAGCACGGGGGGGCGGAAGGGGGGGAGGGGAGGCGGACGGCACCGGCGAGGAGGCAGGGGGGCAGACCTGCACGCCGCAGGGGCACCAGTGGAACCCGCTCGCGGGCGGCAGCGCTGGGCCTTGTGCTAGGAGGCGCCAGGCGGATCCGTGGCACGTCCTCGCCTCAGTGAGGTGCGTCGGCGCACCTGCGCTGTGGCAGGGGGGAGCTGCGCGGCGGACTTCGCTCCTCGGCTGCTGCACGACGCGCCGCGCACCCAGAGATCCGAGGCTCCGGCAAAAAATGCGAGCGGTGGTCGGTCTCTGGGCTGCAGTGGAGGCCCATGCCAAGAAACACCTTGCTTGCCTCCAGGGTGCCCTGGGTTTCTTGGGTTTCGATAGTTTTGCCATGGAAAGCGTGCGCCAAACATTAATCGACGTCCTGGGGTTTCAGGGTTGGGTTTCTTGTGGAAGGTCTCCTGTGGACTGGCCTCCATAATATGCTTTCGGCCTCCGGGGGCTCTCAGCGGGCCCCGTCAAAACACGGCGCAGGACGGCAAACTGGCTCCGTGGGAGAGTTGTTGAGACCTCCGGGGGCCACGCACCGAAACATTGGATGGCCTGCTTCCGTCTGTCGAGTCCGCCAGCGTCGGCTAGCGCTCGGCAGTCGATGGGATGGCGCCGATGGAACGTCGATTTGTGTCGGCCTGGCGTCGTTTGGCGGCGACTCGCGAGAGCCAGCAGGAGGGTGTGAGAGCCCGACCGTGGCGGCGCTCATGCTGCGGGCTCCACAGCGGGCCGGCCTCGCGCCTGGTCGCTGCACGTGGGAGGAGGAGGAGGAGGAGGAGGAGGAGGAGGAGGAGGAGGAGGAGGAGGAGGAGGGGAGGAGAGGAGGAGGAGGAGGAGGAGGAGGAGGAGGGAGGAGGAGGAGGAGGCCCGCCGGTCGGTGGCGCACGCGTGGCCTTGAGTCGGGCATGTCTCGGGGGTCCCTAAACGGGGCGGTGATCATACCGTGCGGTGAGTCGGTGGGGATTCGAGGTCACCGCACGGTTTTGGGATTCGGGTCGTTCTTCAGGGACGTCTCGGGCGACAGGGGCCTCCAGGGTCCCAAAACCGTGCGGTGACGGACCGTGCGGTGAGGTCTTGGGGATTTCGAGGTCACCGCACGGTGAGTCACCGCACCGTTTCGGGTCTCCAAAATATCCATCTACAGAAAAAAACATCCAAACATAGTCAAAAGATGATCCGGGGGCGATGCTCCGACTCTTCTTGGCTGTTGTTGGGCACTGTGTGCCTCGTTTTCGCGTTGCTGCAAAAAATCCGCCTGTAGGGGGACGCGCCCGATCCAAGCCTCGCCCACCACTTACCAGCCTGGAAGAGATCCCCATCCCTATGCTGGGCATCTCCTCATTACGATGCCAATCTTAGGGAACCCCTTATTTTTTGAGGGCGAATCCCGAAGACCGTCATCGCCTTTTGGCGTGTCAATCTTGGGGACAGGGATACGTTCGAGGCTGGTAAACCACCGCCCGATGGAGAGCCGCGCGCCGGCCCGTGCGGCAGCTTCGGCTCGCGCGGCTGGGCCTCGGGCGCGGCTCGAGCGCGGCTGCGCGCCCCTGCGCCCGCGAGGCGGCGGCCGCGGCGGCGGCGACGGCGGCGAGGGCGACCACCGGGCCATTCGCGCGAGAGCCCCGTTTTGGAAGGAATTGGTCTTTCGTGCTCCTCTGGGATGGGAAATATATCTCGGACAGACTGGGTCCCAAAGTGGAGCGCAGGGTTCCGCGGGAGCCCCGTCTTGAAGAGGGGCCCGCCCCCGCAGTTTTTCTCGGGCCAGACGAACAGGGGGGGGGAGTGGGAAAGGGGGGGTCACGACTTTGCTGCATGCGGCTGGTTTCGGCCTCACCGAGGGGCCCATTCCTCGATACATAGTTAGCCGCCTCCGGCGCCAGGAGGCGCCGGGAAAATCAGCTATACTTGAGCTGATTCTCACCCCCCCCCTGGTATCCCCCCCTTTCGCCCAACCCAGAACCAGTCGGGCGGGTCGTGGGCCGTGATGGACCGCTCCAGATCGCTCTGGAACGAGGGCGTCCCGGATCGTTCTAGAACGGCCGCGGCGCCCCATCCGCCAGAACCGCTGGAGCTCGTCGAGGATCCCCGATGCAGCCCGGTCCGATGTTGTCCCCGTGATGCCTTCGTCTCAACCCAGGGTGCGCTCCGCAGCATGCTCGCGGGCTCCGCCGCTGATCCGCAGAGCACGGCTGATCGCAGCCGCCGTCTGGCTCGTCGCAGCCGCGCTCCAGAGCACAGGCCGGACAGAGCGTGTGCCGAGTGCTGGGTGGGAGGGGCCAGGTTCGTGGCCTTCTGAGCAGCGGGGGGGGTGCTCGTCAGATGGCCAGGGCTTCTTAGAAGGCTCCAGTCAGGGGCAACGATAGGGGGGATAGGCAAAGGGGGGGATGCATCGACCTCCAATCGCCCATTGATTGCCCATAGGTGCCTGATAGCCCCAACCTGCCCAGGAAGGCGCGGATTCATTATCGGAGGCCTATCGCCAATCTATCGGCGATGCATCGCCGATTCCAGGTCGGTGCATCCCCCCCTATGCCAGTCCCCCTCTATCGTTGCCCCTCATCCAGGGCGGCCTCCATCGAACACCGGCGAAAACAGAACAAGCAGCAATTTTGGGAGGTCCACGCGGCTTTCTAGGATTGGCGCTGGATCCCCCCCCTCCCCCTTCGTGAGCGAGAGGAGGACATACACGTACATGCATCCGCGTTGATTTCGAGAGTACGCTTAAGTCGGGCTTGTCCCTCTACAGATGGAATATTCAAAAGCAGTCAAACAATAGTCTGGGGACTATTTTTTGAATATGTTTAGACCATTTGGGAGCATTTGTTGGGTGTTTCTAATTTGTCGTCGAGAATCCCCCTGTAGGGGGACACGCCCGACTTAAGAATACGCATTGCGTGAACGTTCGTATCACGAGACTGATCTCGCGAACGTGGGGGCCGTGTTCATGTGCGTGGTTGGGCGCGTATGGTGGAAGCCCATGCTCAAGAGCACCCTGCTTGCCTCCAGGGTGCCCTGGGCTTCTTGGGTTTCGATGGCTTCGCTGTTGACAGCGTGGCGTTCCTACACGAAAAATCAGTGGACGTCCTGGGGTCTCAGGGTTGGGCTTCTAGTGGAAGGCTTCTTGTGGTTGAGCTCCTGCTGTACGTCCTTTGTGCGCTCCCTCCCCCTATAGGGTGCCTTTGTCGCTCAGCCCGGGAGCCCTGGAGCTGCCCAAGCTGGGCGCGCCCGCGAGGCATGGTCTGATCAGCGGCGCTCTGAGTGCCCGCGCAGGGCCAGCTTCGCTACCTGCTCGCGGCACTTCAGGTAGGAAGGATCGTATTGTTGCTTAGATTCTTGCACGTTTACTTGCATGACGTTCCGCCCCCCCGCCGCTGTGCCGAAGAGCGCTGGGCCAGAAAGGCGTGCACGTGGGTCCCGACCTGGGTGAAGTGCAGAGTTCCTTCTTGGCCTCGCCACGCCCCCTCGCCCTCCGCCTCCGTGCGAGTAAAGTTCCCCAGGCTCGGAGGAAAAGCTGACACGCAGAAAACGCCGATACCGCTGCTTGTCCTAGAGTAGTGCCCTCGTCGCCACGGCCGGATTCTCCTTGAAAAATGTTGGTCCGAAGTCACCTTGAGGTACGTCCTGGGAGTAGTGGTATGGGTACCCATCGGTCGTTGTAAGTAGTTCGGTATGTTTGGAGCCCCAGATTCCAATCTATGAGAGGCGCCTTCCTTCCTCAATGATCGAGTGGCCCCACCTTTCTCCGTCCTCCTGAACCCAATCTACTTTCAACGCCTTCCTACGTCATGTTTCTACCTGTAAGTCGGGCCTGACACTCTACAGGCGGAATATATCCAAAATTAATATTAAAAAGTCTGGGGACGATCAGTTGACAATTTTTGAGCATGTAGGGGGTACTTGTTTGACTGTTTTTGATTTCCCCCCCAGATCCCCCTGTAGGGGGACAGGCCCGACCTGATTCTTCCTACTCCTTCCGACCGATGGGTACTTGTTTTTCTTCCCCATCCGCCGGCGGAGCCAGCCTTGGACCTAGCCTCGGGGGTCCCCAAACGGGGCGGTGACCACACCGTGCGGTGAGTCGGTGGGGTTTCGGGGTCACCGCGCGGTTTTGGGACTCGGGTCGTTCTCCGAGGACGTCTCGGGCGACTGGGGCCTCCGAGGTCCCAAGACCGTGCGGTGACGGACCGTGCGGTGAGGTTTTGGGAGATTTCGAGGTCACCGCACGGTGTGTCACCGCACCATTTCGGGACTCCAAATAGTCGTCGTTGCGTCGCGCGGGCAGCCTTCCTCTCCTTCGTCTTCCCGCTGCCCCCCCCCCCCCCCCTCGGGCGCCCAAGCGCTCGAGCCGAGGGACACAAAGTCGGGCCAGAACGCCCTCCACAGCTTTGGATACTTGCGCGGTCCACTGGATGCCTCTGTAATTTCAGGAGGGGAAAAACCCACGTACGCAATGAATCGTCGATTCCCCAGAAAATGTAGGAAACTATGGGAAGTGGGGGGGAAGACAACAACCCAGAACGTACGGGAAAGTATGGGGGATCCTGTTCTTTGTGTGTATTTATTGTGTGTCTCCCAGGGCCCCAACATAATTGTCCAGGTCGCTCCAGGCAGAGCGTTCGTGCAGAGGGTACGCCCAATGCTCGCACCAAACTCGAGGGAGGTCGGTGCTCACCCCTCCAGGGGTGGAGGGGCGCGTGCAGGGTGGGCCTCTGAGAGTCAGGAGGGACAAAAAACACACAGACACAATTAATCGTCGATCCCCAGAAAAGATGGGAGAACATGGGAAGTGGGGAGAAGACGAAAACCCCAAACAGATAGAAACATGTGGGGAATCCTTTTATTTGTATGTATTTATTTGTGTGTGTGCCCCTGGGCCCCTTGAGAGAGGGCAGGGCGCTTCCTGCACGGGGTCAGGGGGGGCTCGGGGAGCTGGAAGGCACGAAGGGTCCTGAGGAGTTCCCAGAAGTGCTTTCTCGTCGAAGCCCTCCCCCTGCGCGCGCAGCCAAGAGCAACAGCACTCCCTCCCAAATCGTCGTCCTCCCGCCATGCTCCTGTCTTCTCCCCGAGAACCCCTGCGCGGGCGTCGGGTTGGCCGGGTGACGGGCGGCATGAGAAAACACAGCCTGAACTGGTCAGACGTCCAGGGCGGTGGTGATGCTGTCCTTTGTTTTCGCGGAGGTCGTTTCCGCATGTCGTCCTTGCCCGCCCGCGCCCCTCGACTGCACAACTCCTGTGCACCGATCGGGGGTGGACAGAACCCCTAACAGTGACACGTCGATTAGTGAATTGTCCGTTTTCGCTTGTCGAGGGGGCGCCAGGGCCGTCATTTTCCAGGCTTGCGCCCGCCAGGTTTGGGCCTCAGGTCGTTTTCACTAAACCACGTTTTACTAAAGGTGGGTCTGTCCATCCCAGAACCGAGCCCTGGCTCTTGGAGCCGCCGTACTTCGACGTCTTCGCCTGTGTCAGACATGCACCCCGACCGATGCGAAGAATTAGGGCGGAAATATCCGCCTCCAAAGAGTAAGGCGGATATTTCCGCAAAGGCATGGCGGAAGCAGCGACGGCACAGTAAAGCGGAACTAAGCATCAAAGGGGCTTGACCGGCAGGGCGGAACGTCCCTTACGAAATCGCCCGTGAGTTGTGAGGATAGGTTGTGGTATTGGTGAGTTGTGTTTCTCCTTGCTCAGGGTGGGTCGCTCCAAAGATGCCATGCTCGTTCTTGCTGGAGTCCCCGCGTGCCTCTCCAGGACACGCTCCTGCAGGAGACGGACGCGGCCCTCAAGGCCCCGCTCGGCCAGCTGCCAGACCGAGGGGCTTTTCGAGGGTTCCAGATCCTCCTCGCCCTCGTCTTTTTTGTTGTAGTCGTCCTCTGGCATCTCTCCTCGTGCCCCCGTGTGAGCACTCCTGCGCACCAATCCGCATGCGCTCTCGACCTCCCTCCTCGTCTTCGCCCCCATGCTGATCACCCGACCCCTCCCCATATCCCTCACACTGCCACTTCCACCCATCTCCCTCCACCCTCTGTCCTCCACAGCCACAGTCCTTCCTCCCGCGCTCATCGTTCCCGCTCTTTCCTCGTCCCTCCCTTCCTTTGCCGCCTCGCTCGGGTCCGTGCCTCTCCTTCTCTCCCTCCACCTCTTCCTCTCCCTCCCCTCCCCCCTTCCGCCCCCTTCTCCTCGGCCGCCCCCCCTTCGCCCCCCACTCCCTCGTCCTCCTGAGTTTGCTCGCTTGGTCCCGGCCGGTTCGTCGCGTCAGGCGCCCCGGCCTCTTGACCCGCGGCGCCCCCAAAAAACACCACGTGGTGTGCCGCCCGCTGCGTGTGTGGGTCGCCCTCGGCTGCCGCGGCAAGCGGGGCGCCCGACGCCGCCGCGTGCGGCGGCGGCGGACGCTCCCGGACGTTTTTTGCCCCCCCCCCCCCCCCCCCCCCCCCCCTTGGCTGTCTCGTGCCATACAGCTCGGCTCCCTCTTGGGCGGCCGCCCGGGCCCTCTTCGGCCCCCCCTCCCCTGCACGAGATGCGCACTTGGGTGACCCAGCGCAGAGGTGAACGATGGGTGCACGTTTCTTACCAGCCTGGAACATATCCCTATCCCTATGCTGGGCACCTCCTCATCACGATGCCAATCTTTGGGATTTCCTTATTTTTTGAAGGTGGATCCCTAAGATTGTCATCGCCTTTTGGCGTGTCAGTCTTGGGGATAGGGATACGTTCGAGGCTGGTAAGTTTCTCCCCCCCACGCTGATGGGCCCCCCCCCGTTACGACCGCCCGAGACGGGCCCCCCCCGAGGGCGAGCCCCGAGGCTGGAGGACCGTGGATCGGCGGCGAGCGCGGGGGGGAAGCGAGAAGGAAATGGCCTTATCAGAAGTCGGCGGGACTTTTCAGAAGCCCTCGTGCCTTCTGAGAAGTTTCTGGCCACGCCCAGAAGGGGGTATGGGGGAGGGGGGAAGGCTTCTTGGAAGCACCCCTGCGTCTTAGAAGGCGCGGGCCTTCTTTGTGGATGTAAGGCGGGCGCCTTCTAAGAAGCAGCCTGCTTCTAAGAAGCCCTCCCCCCTCCCCCCACCCCCTTGTGCGCGCCGCCAAAGTTTTCTACGTTATCTGGGAAGGCTTCGAACACTTCTCAGAAGGCTGGCGGGACTCCCGAGCCTTCTGAGAATGCCATCTCCTTCTCAGTTCCCCCCCTCGCTCGCCGCCGAGTTGAGATCCGAGGAGGAGAGGGGACCCACACCGCTACCCTTTCCTCGTTTTCTCCATGTTGGGCCTCCTGGGAGGTCCCCGTTGCCACCGCTGGATTCGCCTCGAAATTCTGGTCAGAACGCACCCAGGGAGAGGTCCGGGGAGTAGCGGCATCGGTACCTTCCCATTTCCCCAGAAACGTTGGGAACAAATTCGAAGTTCGATTCCGAGGAAGTACAGTCGAGCATCTGATTGAGAAGCCTCCTCCCGAGAAGCTGGACCAGCGGCCAGCGTTTCTCGGCCAGCTCGCCAGAGAGCTGGCCCAGCTTCTTAAGTACGTCCGCCTCTCCAGCGTCAACAACAGGAATGGGCCCAGGCTTGTGGCAATAAGCGCCTGGGAAGCTGGCCGAGGTTTCTAATGTGATAGTTGTCTGGACCGTGCAGTGGAGAGCCATGCCAAGAAAAACACCCTGCTTGCCTCCAGGGCGCCCCGGGCTTCTCGGGGTGCTTTGGCTCCGCCATGGACAAAGCGTGATGCCCCCACACCAAAAAGGAGCGGACATCCTGGGGCCCCAGTGTCATGGAAGGTTCGCTGTTGTCGAGCTCCTGTTGTACTCTCGGCTGCAGCTCCCCCGCGGCCCCCTCGGGCTTGGCGAGCTCCCGCCCATGGCGGCCGCGGCCCCCCGCTCATGCCAGCCGCCGTGGCCCGCGGGCCGCCCTGGCCGCTCCGGCATGGACGCGGCCTCGCCCGCGGCGCCAGGCCCACCCATTGCTCATTGGGCGCGTTCCGCTACTCGCAAAGTGCTTGCTCGCAAACGCCCGAACGAACATTTGTTCCCCTGTGTCATGTATCCTAAATCCCCCGCGGCGGATCCAGGCCATTTGCGAGTAGCTTCAAGCACTGGCGAAGCGTCCGGGCGTCCCTATAGTCCTACCAAACAATGTTCTAAGAACCTTTTGTGGTTCCCACGAAAGTCCTTAGACCATTTCTGGTTTGGGCTGTCTTGTTTTGTCACATCGGGTTTTGTGTTCTTAGAACATTTTCGGGCTGTAGGAACATTTCGTGGTAGGACCATCGGAATGCCGTGACGGTCGGCCCCTGCTCAATAGCTTATTTGCGAGTAGTGGAGCGT